CCTATAACGAACAACCACCGAAGAAAACACATAAAGAACAACTGAAAAAGGCAGAAAATCAATATAGTAGTGTTTTAGAATTTCTTCGACTAAGGCTAAGTTCTTACTTGATTTCTGAATTGGCTCTGAGGTACTCATCGGTTGTAGTTTCTTAGTTCTTGGATCCTAAACGGCTAAACGAATCCTTATTTGGTCTGCTGCCATAGAGAAGGTCAGTACACCTTCACCCTCTTCTCTTTTAATTATTTTTACTTGAATACCATGAACATGTTGTTGCTTTCTATTAACTGTTTTAGCTTATAATGTTTGTCATTAGTATAGAAATGTTATTTTCAGTTCGTGATAAGGTGTTGTTCACTTGTGATTATTTGTTATGCTCTTAAGTATCCTTAAAATAATGTTGATTGTACTGTATGTGACCTTAATGGATTTCATTTCTTATCTCAAATAGCCAATATGATTAAATCTCCCTAATATGCTTTAAATGACCTCTCATGCATGCTTAGGTTTCAGATTTTCTATTAATGATTCTGTTGTGATCTCTATCTCCATACACTATTTCCTGCATTCTGTTGGTCGAGATTGTTGTTTGATAATTCTAACTGGCATAGACCTAAAAGTTTATAGCTTAATTCCTCACCATTTAACTGAATCATAAAACGTCTAAGTGTTTAAGTTCTCCCCGTCTCTATAGCTGTATCTGTTAACTCTAAGAGCAACTTCTGGGTTGTCACCATGTCCTTATTATGTTCATATCTAACTGTTGGTTGGATTTATATGAAAGCAGTCTTGTTGAGGTGAACTCTCATGAACATTAGTAATCCATCTACCTATATTCTGTTGTTATCAAATTGTCTTTTAAAAAAATAGGTCATAGTTGTGTTGTTATAGTTGAATGGTAGCTGTTGTTAAGCTAGACATACCTGCCTCATGTTTAGAAAGAACTCTCTGTTACATGGTTGAGTTAAACATGTTTGGTTTAGCACTCTTATTGTCTTTAATCTCTTTAATGACATTGCTAACTTTGTGAAGTTTACCATATCTTCTGTAGGATTATAACCTCATGTAAAGTATCTATGATTAGTTGATTAAATGTTGCATGTATTTCTGTTTATTTGCATGAACTCTTGTTCTTATACTCTATATTGAAATTGCACTTGGTCCTCTCTTTCCCTGCTAATGATTGAAATTAGTCTGTAAACCATAAGTGAACTTTCTATTGCTGTTGTTTGGACATAATAGTCTACCTATTTCAATATAAGATTAATATTTTTATGAAGATGTGATTCTGCACTCAATCCCAAATGAAGTATGGTGGTAACCTGTGGTTCTGTTAAGCATCTTTAAGAATTCCATGTTTGAATCTGTGAGCCTACATTCCTACTAAGAATCCTGATCATGTTCTGATATTTTTGATAACACCTATAGAAGTTGTTTGATGTGACTGTTTGTCTAAATCCTTGTTAATGCTTTTAAGAATTCCAAGTAGTGTGATCAGTCTATGCATGTGCTAGTGGCAAGACCTAAGCTAATCAACCCATGATTAGTCTGCCAAGGCAGAAGTATCTATTTATGGGTTATTGCATATGTGCATTGTGTAGTTTTTACCTATCCTTTGAATGTGATCCTAAGTGTGTAGATCTTTAACAATAATGCTATAATGTCTCTGCCTCCCCCCTCATCCATATGTGTTTGAAATCTTACCTTTAGACTTGGTTAATATGTGTATTATTCATGTGATATTAGAAATGTAGTTATAAAGTGAAACCATTCTTATGTCCATATGTTATTCTGTCAAGGGAAAAGTATATTTCTGTGGTAGGGGATATTATGGTAGTTGGTTTACATTGAAATAGCCTCATTAGCATCTAAACCCATAAGGAAAAACGAGTCGTTAGTGGTTAAGGGTATTTGGAAGTATAGTTTAACTCTAGGTTGGGCTGCTCTCCCCGGCACAAGCATTGCCCTAGGCCTTGAGACCCTTGGGAACTTTAAAGTGTCGGGGGATTCAAAGGGGCATCAACCTTGAGTAGGACTCTCTCCTTAGCCCTCAAATCATTGACACTTGTTGTTATTTAGGGTTTTAGTATTTAATGGCAATGAAAGATTTTCAATATAAATTATTTTCCATGTGTAACCACCACATTAGTATAAGTTTCTCATAGTATTTGAGTATTGATATTTTGTTATATTTTGCTCCCATCATTTGTTTACGTGTTTCATACATAATTGAACATGCATGATCTGTATCTAATGACCTTCTCTTTCTTTTGGACATGTACATTTGATTGTGCCTGCTAAGTTCCTAAGGAACTCATGCCCAAGTTCAGCCTTGCCGTATTATGTGAAAATCAAAAGTTTGCTGCAGCCGTCCCTTTTTGCTCGGCCTGCCTCTTGAGGCCCAAACACCAGAGTCCAATCCTCTTTCTCTAAACTCCTATTATTATTATTGCTTCACTACTTTAGTCTACTGCCTTGTTATACTTTGTTGCACTATGTTGTTGATTTTTCTATCTCACATGTATACAACACTTATATAATAGATTACATGTTTTACTTTATACCTTAATGTCATACAAAACATAGGCCGGCCCTAAATAACATAGGATTAAAAAAAGAATTAGTTAGTGACTAATTTCTCGTTCACCAATTATAATTGCTTATATCGTTACCATGTTTTCGCTCACCTTCTTTTTCTTAAAGGATTTTGAAGCCCAAGGCTTAGAAAAACAGCAGCCCCACTTTCAAAAAGGAAAATCAGATTTGAATCGCAAGCTTTATCTTCAAAAAGGGAATCAAATTGTTTCAAAATATGAAGTGGCATTCCCCCTAAAAGAATTTTCAAAATGGATTTTCTTCAAGTCTAAAAGATCAAGGTACATTTAGGCCTACTCATACTTTAAGAACAAGTGTTTAATTTAGTTCCCCTTTTTACATACTTTCTTAAGTGCAAACAACCTATATCTCATTTCAAAAAGCTCTTTTCAAGCATGTGTGCACTAATGTTATTTTCCTCTATAAATTCATACCTTTTTTAAACTACACCCTCCCCTTGTAAGAGTTATGTCCTAATATATAATAAGCCATATCTCTAGAACACAGATTAAGGCATAGTATAAATAATTGATTCCAAATTTAGTCTAAGTGCTATGGAGCTACCTCACGTAGATTTTAAGAGGTGCCTAACACTTTCCCCTAAGAAGAACAAGAACCCTTACCCATAATCTCACCGGTTAGCAGACTAATAAATAATACGACTTAGTAATTAAATAGGTAACCTAGTATACCTTTAAATATTAGGTGGCGACTCTCTTTTATCAACAACAGAGAAACCACAAGTTGAATCTTGTTTTGACTAGTGCAAAATAGGGTGCAACAACATGGCAAATCTGCTGGGGATTCACACTTAGGTTCTGACCTTAGCAGAGTTAAACTAATTTGGCATCTAGATTTATTTGTACATTGCTTTAATTGTAGATATAATTGTAATTACGTGCTTACCTGCCTTATTTGCTCTTCATGCCTATTATCATGCTTATTATCATGAATATTATCATGCATATTATCATGCTTATTATCATACTTATTTTTGCTACACTCTTATCTGTTACTGCTTTATATACACTATCATCACATTTCTTCCTATCGAGTCTTGGCCGTATACTATCATACACAATGGCACGCGAGGGTTGTCTTTTACACCCCTCCGAACCTTCGTTTCAAAACTCTCTAGTTTCAGAAAATGGCTTTGTTAGGTCAACTGACATAACTTCTCACAGCCTTTAGACCAACTCAAAAAATAGGAAACACTCTACTCTAGCAAAACTAGGTCATACTGCATAACCTTAGGTGAGTCTATCCTTGGCATCGACACACAATTAGGAAAGCCACCCTAATGTCAACGGGTCATGCACCCAACGACATCACTTCTTTGGAAAGACAAACAAACCTGATAAGACACTTAAGGATCCAAAGCAAACACTTATCAAACATGTTTCTTTTACCCACCTTAGAAAAAAAAAATCAACCAAAATATCCCTGAATTTAACATGGTATTGGAGCGCCACATAATTCAAAGCAGTGGTGGAAAAATATTCGTCGGGAACACGAAGAGGAGGTTCAGACACACCTGGGGGCACTAACCGCTTTACTGAACATCCGTGTAGACTGGGTGCTCATTCACCTATTGATAGAGTTTTGGGATCCGTCTAAGGTGGTGTTCAAATTTGCCGACTGTGAGTTAGTATTGACATTGGAGGAAGTCACGAATTTCACGGAGATGCCGTTCAATAGAAGGAAGACAATATTGCCAATTACTATGCCCGATTACCAGTTCTTGGAAGCTTTAGGCCTGGCCAATAGTAAAAGTCTCAGAAGTATCGAGGACGGATGGGTGAGCCTCGACCAGCTATTCGACAGATTTGGGCACCTGTGAAAGCTACGAGTGGTATTCAGGAGAGTTTCAATATGACCAAGTAACATGGGAGAGTCTCAGGCCTATCACTTTCTCAATGGTACTATTGGGACTATTGGTCTTCCCGCAGAGAAGGGGTCGGATCAACATTAACCTATTACCTGTGGTCCTGGCAACTTTCCGTGGCAACCTTCAAGCTAATTAGGTTCCAATGGTGATAGTTGAGATGCTAAGGGCTTTGTCTGTATGTGCACGAGGGTATGATTTCTTTAAGTGTTGTAACTTTCTGCTTCAGATCTAGGCTACTGAACATTTCTTCCTGCTAGAGGCCACCATCGACTACTTTGTGGGCGTCAGCAACATGATCCGCAACCACAACAAGAGGATGAGACATTGGATCTCCCCAAACGGCCAAGAAGAGTGGAGGGAGATGCTGACCAACTTGAGTGGGGAATGGATCAACAGGAAGCTATCATGGTTAGGTGGGAGAGCAATCTTAAGGACTGCTTAGAAATACTTAATCGAGTTGATCGAACTTGAAGGTATTCAACCATACTCACCCTTGCAAGTCCTTAGACAGTTCGGGATGATCCAAGATGTGCCTCTGTGGACAAGGACAATATTATACGAGGATGAGTACAACGGACTTATTCCAATTCCCATGATAAGAAGGCTCCAAGAAGAGTGGAACGACCTGGTCACAATGCCGATGGGTCAAAATTCGTGGTGCACTCCAGAGTATTATATTTGGATCAATGAGGAAGATGAGCTAGCCCGACCAAGCAGAGAGGGTATAGCCTAGTTGGAGGAGGCAGTGGTTGCTTTGCAAATTTACCATGAGATCCTGCCATATTACCTTGTGACCACTTCAATACACCATTAAGTGGTCCCATGATCCATAGATCATATGTTGCCACCTGCTGAAGACGATGACCGGGTAGTTGAGTGCATCAAAATAGAGTCTAGCACAGAGTCAGAAGAAGATCCGAAAGAGGAGTCAGAGTTCAACGATGACGATAAAGAGTTTGAAGAAGACATGGAGGAGGATCCGGAAGAGGAGCCAGAAGAAGAAGAAGAGATGGGAAATGACTCAGTGGATGGTTATTAGAGTTAGTTGATTTCCCTTTCTTTCCCACTTTGTACCCCTATCCCCAGCTTTTTATTTTTCCAAAAGGGCAAGTTGTCCAAGCCCATGTAGTTCCATGTAAAGTGATGTAATCTTTGTTCCTACTTATATCAGTCCAAATTATCAATGACAACAAATTTGCTTCGAATCTAAATGTGTCAAGTCTAAATATCTGTCAAATATTTGCAATTTAGGCCTACTTCCGGCAATGTGAGGCTCCCACAAATTCTAGGAAACACGCTAGACTTAATGCGTGAATTAATTGCTCTGTGTGATTTCCTGCTTGTATAAATAAAGAAACTGACTCTTGTTCATTTTCCCTTTTCATTCCTCATATTTTTCTTTTGCTTTATTATTACCCCCAAAAAGAAAGAAAGTTGGTTTGTGTCGACCAAAACTGGTAGAACCACTGTACAATCTAAGATCAAAGGGGAAGATGTCAGCCACAGAAAACCCGACTGAACATGCTCTGGTCATATCTGATAGCCCGGGGCGATCAGGGGAAAAGGACTAAACCAGGAATAAGGAACACATGGCCAGGATGGCCCAGGAAATGGAATCTCTAAGGGAGGAAGTACATCATATCAGGGAAATAGCGCACCTGGCCATGACAAAGCTTCCCCAACCACTTCGATTCCCTTCTTTCGATTCAATCTTTGACCACTTTCCTTCCAAATCACGCCAAAACAACAACACCCCAACTTCAGTTACTACCACTCAAGTCATACCTCCTGTGACCCCTAAATATCCCCTATCCACACGCCCTACGTACCACAGTACGTTCAGACACCACAAAACCCGCTTATCACCACCAATGCAACTCATACCCCTCCTCGTGACGGAGTCACTTTTACCACTAACCAGCACATACCTATGGTACATACCGTCGCCCATGAGCGGTATATTCCCCCTGTATATGCCATTTCTAAACCTACCTTTACAACACCTGTCACGGTCAGGGTGCCTTATGAGGTTGATCAATATGCCGAGACGGAAAGTGAAGTCAGGCGTAAGGAAGAAGAGTTAGTATTTGAGCAGCTGCAAATCTTGAGAAAGCAAATGAAGAACCTCCAAGTTGCCCGAGGAAGTGAAAGTTTGGACTACAAGGATTTGTGTATTCATCCGGATGTGGATATGCCGACAGGGTATAAACCTTCAAACTTTGATATGTTCGATGGGGCGGGTGATCCCCACGCACATTTGAGGGCATATTGTGACAAGCTAGTCGGAGTGGGGAGGAATGAGAAGCTAAGTATGAAGTTATTTATAAGGAGTCTGACGGGAGAAGCACTTACCTGGTATACTCGACAGGATCCGCAAAATTGGAGAACTTGGCAAGATATGGCAGAGGACTTCATGAATCGCTTTCGATTCAACACAGAAATCACCCGTGATCAATTTGCACTGGTGACCCTGCAGAAAAAACCATCCAAGTCATTCCAAGAATATGCATGTCGGTGGAGGTCAGAGGCCGCCATGGCGCAAACTCCGCTGGATGACAGTGAACTAACCAAGTACTTCATCAGAGCCTAGGAAGGGATATAATTTGAAAGGATGATGGGAGTGATGGGATAGAAATTCTCCGAGTTGGAATAAGATATGGTAAAGTACAATCCATTGCAACACGGTAAGCGGCCAGGAAGGCCATCCAATCAGGGTCAATCGGTAGTGGAAAGAAGAAGAAAGAGTAGATCTCAGCAGTCGTCCCTTACTATCAACCAAACCCACACCACGAAAATACTTCCTATTCCCCAAACAGCCATTCACCACCACCCACTTACGCTCCAGTCTATAACACCCAGCCATATTATCACCCTCAACCCCAATACAACCATCCTCGAGCAAACAACAACCCGAATCCACAACGACCATATGCTCCTGTCCAAACCACTATGTACCAAAATCGACCCGCTTATGCACCACGCCCTCGTCCCAACTTTGAAGACAAGGGTCCAATTAATTATACCCTGATTGCTGAGCTTCTGGCCTAATTTTTCGAGAAATTGAGTAGATCAGGATAAATACATCCAGTTGAAGGAAGGGTTCCTGAGTATCCATCCAAGTATTTTGATGCAACTAAAAGATGCGTGTATCATTCTAATGTACCGACCATGATACTGAAGATTTTTTTAAGCTGAAATATGATATTGAAACACTAGTCAAGAGCGGAGCCATCCAATGCACTATGGCGTCACCCAATGTGAATCACAATCCACAACTAAATCACCGAAACCAGGGAGTTAACATGATCACATTGGATGAAGAGTATGATATGAAGGGGACGATCGTCACTATAGGAAATGCAGAAGTCACCAGGATCCCTCCTCAAAGGGCTCCAATAATTATAGTACAAGTGAGGCCTACTGCGAGTGTTCAAACTTATCAGCGACAACCTGTCATTGCTACTGAAGAGGAAGAAAGAATACAAAACCATCCCATGGACGTACCAACAAAAAGGGAAGGCAAAAATGACAGACTCTGTCGCAGCCCATGGTATGACAAGGTCTGGGAGATTCTATGCTCCTGAAGATGTTAATTTAGGGAACTTGGGAAGAGAGAAAATTCAAAGAAGGAACATAACTGACCCAAAAGTCGATGAGTTCTGGAAGAGAATGTTGACCAAAGAGTATTCTGTGGAGGATCAACTGAAGAAAACTCCAGGACAAATATCAATCATGGATTTGGTAATGAGCTCCGACAGTCATAAGGACGCCCTTTTGAAAGTACTAAGTGGGGTAAGTGGACCAAGTAACGCCACTAGTGAGGCGCTAGCCGTGACAATTAGGAAAATGGTCTAGGAAAATATGATCACTTTCAGAAGAGACGAACTTCCTATCAAAAGCGCAAGTAACAACAAAGCTCTTCATATCATTGTCAAATGCGGGGACAAGGTGGTGTCTCGAGTGTTGGTCGATGGAGGGTCAGGAGTCAAGATTTGTTTGTTCTCCACCCTATGGAAGTTAGGAATTCATTTGAGGGAAGTCAAGGATATCCATGTGAGGCTGAGGGCCTTTGACGGTTCGCAAAAGGATGTTATTGGAGAAATTTATTTGGCCTTGCAAATCGAGACGGTCGAATTTCCCATATTGTTTCAAGTAATGGACATCTCCTCTTCCAATAACTTGCTGCTAGGAAGGCCCTGGATACATATGGTAAGGGCCATCCCATCCACTTTACACCAATGCATGATATTTGAGTGGGGATGTCAGGAGATCGTGGTCCACGGCGAGTGGGGTCACTCCTCTTATTTGGAGCATGTTGTTCCATTCGTTGAAGGGCTAGACGGAGTTTCTTTCCATGCAGTGGAAATCATGCAGACTACCGAAATGGAAGAGGCTAAACAAAACCTGGGAATGCAATCACCATATAGATCCAAGATGGCTATGAGGGAGATGATGAAATATGGATACAGGCCAAGATAGGGCTGGGAGCCAGGTCGGACAGAATCACAGAGCTAATTAATGGGCAGAAAGGAAGGGCCGACATAGGATATCAGCCTTCGGAAGGGAAAGTTCATACGCTAGGTCTAAGAAAAAGGTTTTTGTAATAGAGCATGTTTCATGTCCGGGTCAGAGTTCAGTACCAGAAGATGATATCATCGATGGGATGGGAAATTTGTCCGTGAATTTGATTGAAGAATGCTATGAAGGGACTGACACCAAGACACTGACTATCAAGGATGCCGAACCAGGTGAAGAGCTGCGGAATTGGACTGCCATTCCATCTTTGGTTCTCCAGGAGTCTTGGTAGTATGGAACTGTAAAAGTTTTCTTTTGAAAAGTGCACAGTCAATTGAGGCATGCACCGTGTTTGTACCTTTTTGTCATTTGCCTCTTTTGAATGCTTAAGACGTTCCTTTTTTGATGAAATAAAAAGAATCATTTTCTCAAATATCGCAAAATTATTTACCGCTTTATTTATGCCTAGCTTTTTGTTTTAGTAATCAACATGCTAAAAACCTGCGTTCCGCGATTATGACATGTAACGAAATTGTCAAGCGCAATAACTCATATTACGAGGAATATGATGAGACTATGATGCCAAACAATCTCCCACAAGAGATCGGACAACTGAAGAGTCATAAAAGGCCCAACCTCGAAGAAACGTAAGTGGTCCTTCTTGGAAGTGAAAAAGATGTAAAAGAAACCAGAATTAACATTCGTCTAGAAGTCGAGCAGAAGGAAAAAAAAGTTGAGGTCCTCCGACAGTACATCGATGTGTTCGCATGGTCATATGATAATATGCCAGAATTAGGCACTGACATTGTCTTGCATCAATTGCCCACCGATCCTACCAGACAACCGGTCAAGCAGAAGCCCATGAAATTCAAACCTGATTTAAGTCTGAGGATAAAGGAAGAAGTGACCAAGCCGATAGAGGCAAATGTGGTAAGGGTCACCAACTATCCAATCTTGTTGGCGCATATCGTCCCAGTACCCAAGAAAAACGGAAAGATCAGAATATGCATAGATTACCGAGATTTCAACAAAGCGAGTCCAAATGAGGATTTTCCCCCGCCAAATATCCACATCCTCATCGACAACTGTGCGAAGCATGAACTGGAGTCGTTTATGGATTGTTCGCTGGGTATCACCAAATCTTGATGCATGAGGAAGATGCAAAAAAGACAGCCTTCACCACATCTTGAGGAGTCTATTATTATAGAGTTATGTCATTCGGTCTCAAGAATGCCGGTGCCACCTACATGAGGGCCATGATGACCCTTTTTCACGGCATGATTCATAAGGAGATTGAAGTGTATATGGATGACATCATCATAGAGTCTCAAAAGAGTTCAGAGCACTTGGATGATTTGAGGAAATTTTTCGAACCCATGCGGAGGTACAGTTTGAAGTTGAACCCGGCAAAATGCGCGTTCGAAATCCCTGCTGGAAAATTGTTGGACTTCATCGTAAGCAGGAAGGGAATAGAACTAGACCCATTAAAATTCAAGGCCATTTAGGAGTTGCTGCCACCAAAGAGTAAGAAATATGTAATGAGTTTCCTGGGTAGATTAAATTACATTAGTCGCTTCATAGCCCAGTCTGCGGTAATCTGTGAACCCATTTTCAAGTTGTTGAAAAAGGATGCTGCCACACAATGGACAGACGAGTGATAGAAAGCCTTCGACAGAATCAAGGAGTATCTGTCAAATCCACCAGTGTTGGTTTCCCCCGAACCAGGGAAACCACAATTACTATATTTGTCAGTCTTCGATAACGCCTTTGGCTGTGTGTTGGTACAACATGACGAAACTGGGAGAAAGGAGCAGGCCATCTACCACTCAAGTAAGAAGTTCACGCCATGTGAGGCCAAGTATACTCTGATAGCATGCACTTGTTATGCTCTGACTTGGATTTCCCAAAAACTAAGGCATTATATGTCAACATACACTACGCATCTGATATCTCGGTTCTATCTGCTCAAGTACATATTCCAAAAGTTGATGCCTACCGGGAATCTAGCTAAATGGCAAATTCTCCTCGGCGAATTTGACATTATGTACATAACTTAGAAGGCTATCAAAGGGCAAGCTTTAGCCTACCACCTCATAGAGAATCTGGTGGATGGATATTACGAACCAATTACTACGTATTTTCCCGATGAAGAAGTATTATTTGCTGGAGAAGATATTGCAGAATAGTACCCTGGATGGAGAATGTTTTTCGATGGAGCAGCAAACTTCAAAGGAGTCGGAATTGGGGCAGTCCTGATTTTGAAATCTGGACAACACTATCCAGCATCAGAAAAGATAAGGTTCCCTTGTACTAATAATATGTCTGAATATGAAGTGTGCATCCTTGGGATTAGAATGACAGTAGACATGAACGTCAAAGAACTTTTGGTCATAGGGGATTCTGATCTATTGATACACCAAGTCCAAGGGGAATGGTCCATCAAGAATGTCAAGGTACTTTTGTATCTGCACTGCGTGAAGGAGCTATGCAAGAAGTCCACAAAGATTGAGTTCAAGCAGGTCCCCAAGATTCAGAACGAGTTCGCCGACACCTTTGCAACCCTATCATCTATGATTCAGCATCTAGACAAGAAATACATCGACCCTATCGAGGTAGAGATCAGGGATCAACATGTTTATTGCTTCCATGTAGATGAAGAACCAGATGGTAAACCATGGTATCACGACATCAGAAAATTCCTTGCAACCAGATAATACTCGGAGAATGCTACTAATGGTCAAAAGAGAGCCCTTAGGAGGTTGGCAAACCATTTCTTCCTCAACGGGGAAGTCCTGTATAGGAGGACCCCAGATTTAGGTTTGTTGAGATGTGTTGACGCTATCGAGGCAACCCGGTTATTGGAGGAAATACATGTAGGAATGTGCGGACCCCACATGAAAGGGTTCACATTAGCCAAGAAGATCTTGAGAGCTGTATACTTTTGGATTAATATGGAAAGAGACAATATCTGATATGTACAGAAGTATCACTAGTTCCATATTCACGGGGATTTTATCCGAGTTCTGCCAAATGAGTTAAACGTAATGGGTTCACCTTGGCCGTTCGCCGCTTGGG